CCAGCCAGGACAGCCCCCTCCACCAGCCAGGACAGCCCCCTCCACCAGCCAGGACCGCCCCCTTAAGACAGACGTTGCGTGCTTTTTTTTCTTTTTTTTTTTTTAAGAGTCCAGCGGCTTTTATTCGGTTTGTCTCCTATGCCATGAATTCGTAGGGAATAGATTCCAGCAGCTCAAGGTCCTGTCTTTGCTTCTCACAGGTGTGCTATGCCTATTATCCCATGAATTCACAGAAAACAGGTCCCAGCAGCTCGGGCTCCTTTCTGTCACTTCTCACAGAGTGTGAGACCCCTACTACGCCATGAATCCACAGGGAACAGGTCCCGGCAGCCCGGGCCCCTCTCCACTGGCTCTCACAGAGTGGGCTTCTCTGGGTGGAGCAGGCCGTCGCTTCAGCCGAACCCGGGTACCTCTCTCTTTGGCTTCCTCCTTTCTCTGGTCATTTTCCTTCACACGCCTCAGGAAGCTACCTCGGCTCTTAGAGTGCTTCATGTGCTCGACATCAATCCTCTTGGCAGGAATCTCACCCTTGACTTGTTTATTTACAACAATTCCAGCAGCATGCTGGGTAACGTCGTAGGCTCCTCCGGTTCTGCCACGGAAACACTTGCGGGGCATGCCTTTTTGAACAGTACCCATTCCCTTGATGTCTACAATGTCACCTGTCTCGTGGAGGTGCACGTATGTGGCCCAAGGGACAACTCCGTGTCTTCTAAAAGGCCTACAGGACATGTGCCGGGTGCCTCTCCTCTTTCCCTTTGTGTTCCTCATTTTGGCGAAATTACTGGAGGATGGCGGCTCCGGCCGGAAGGGGGTTGCCTGCTTTTTCAATCCAGCAACTTCACTCTGAGCAATTCGGCTTGAAAACCACGTATCACAATCTGAGACAGTAACACACACACAAAAAAAATATTCGCTGCAGGATCGCAACAGCAAAAATGTATATAAAAGGGAACAACGCCAAGCCTGTGGGTTAGCCATGGGGCGTCTTACAGCCATTTCAAAGTGCACACAAGGAGCTTTTTAAACATCAAAAACGCTCATGTTAACGGATAAAAGTGTTCGAAGAGGTGTATATGGTAAAAACGCAAGTGTGCTGGGGAAATACATACACGGCATTAAAGGGACTGTGGGAAAAACACCAAAGTTGTTAACAGCAGTTTTCTGGGTGGTGCATTTTGCAGTGGTTTTTTATTTCGTTACACTTTCCGGGATTTTTTTTTTTTCTAAGTTCTTGGCAATCGACGTTGACAAAATGATAGGAAATGAGCAGTTTGCAAAGACATGTTTAAAAGCCGAAGTAAAGGAATGCACAAGAAATGGGTAGGGTGAAGGGAAGGGATCCTTAAGGTTTGTACCCTCTGGGAGCTTTTGAGTTTTGCACCAGGCAGGTGTCACCTACTCAAAAATATATACATACATGTTTGCAAAGAAGACACAAGAAATGTAAACACAAAACCACGGGGGGGGGGGGCAGGAAGAGAGGCTAACAGAAGAACCCCCTGGGGGAAGGAGCTCCAGGAAGGAGCTCTCAGCTCCTGGGAGGGACGGGGACCGGAGGCTGGGCTGCCCTCCTGGGCCCAAAGCCACCGACTCACCCCAGGATCCCGCCAGCCAAGGGTGTCTCCACCGGCAAGGCCACTCCACCAGACACGAAACCGGTCAGGAGCCGGGGCCAGCCCCTCCCTGGTGTTATTTTTCCACGGGGGGCAGAGGCGGGCAGGCTGGGGGAGGTGCTCCAGTGGGTGTTGGACCTCGGACCTGGGACTGCCGGGGTGTCCCCTGGGCCAGGCACAGAACGGGACCCGGTACCTGAGCAAGGACGGCTGGAGGCCCCATCGCCCGACAGAGAGAGAGAGAGAGAGAACTCTGTCCCTGCCCTGTGTTTACAGGAGGATCGTTCGGAAGCAACTGCAGGATCCGGCGGGTTGTTCAAAATGGGAAAAATAGGCCGGGCGAGGTGGCTCACGCCTGTCATCCTAGCACTCTGGGAGGCCGAGGCGGGAGGATCGCTCAAGGTCAGGAGTTCGAAAATGGGAAGAGTACCCCCTAACTAACTTCGAGGCGCTGAACCACACAAATCTTCGTTCTGTTTCCGTTCGCTTGCTGTCTGCTAATCGGTGCTTTTTACCTTTACCGCAAAAAGAGGGCAACTTTTGGGGCCCACCAAAGCTATAAAGATGGGGGGGAGGGGCGTGCTCCGATTTTAGACCACGTGAGGGGCTTATGTATGGGGGAGAGCAGAAACGATCGATCGGGTCGACAAGAAAGGCCACACTCAGTGTCTTTACGGACGGACCCCTCTCCCCACCCCTGCCCTGCCCATCAACTCAAAAATGATGAAAGCAGCTTCACTAACTGCAGGACAGGGGGCTGAGCCAGGGCCCCTGACTGGTGCTAGATGCGGCCAGGTGAGAGAGGAATGGCTCGGTCCCTCCTCGTCCGATCGATCGATCGCTGTGGGTCACGACTCGCCCTGGAGCTCCTCACACACACGGGGGGTTGGGGGGGGTGCCCAGGTTTCCAGCTCCCCTTGCAGCTGGCCCTCAGGGGTGTCCCCTCCACACCTCCGGGGACCGGTCTGCGGAGAAAGCCACAAATCTGTCACCTTCCCCTTGTGTTCCGTGTGCGGGACGCCTGGAGGCTAGAGGCGAGTCACACGGAACACACGGGAAAGCGACTTTTCAGGGGAAAAAAAAAACAAAAACGTATTGCAATTAGATGGCACTCTGGCTGTGGCTCTGAAAGCAACATGAACCCAGTACAGTGTCCTTAGGAGCCGCCAGGGCGGGGGCCGGGGCGGGGGCGGTTCCGGGACCTCCCCTTGGATGCCGGAATCCTAGGACGCTCACGTCCCGGACACGAGACGGCACGCGTGTGCACGTAACCCTCGGGTGCCACCCCACACGCACCTAAATCGCCTCTGCGTTGCTTAAGGTGTGTAACGTGATGCAAATGCCACGCAAATAGGTTCGATACTATATTAAGGAATAAGGGCAAGGAAACAGTCCATGCGTGCCCAGTGCAGGTGCAATTCTTTCCCGGTATTTTCGGTCCGATGGTGGAACCCGTAAGATTCAGAGAACCCACGGTCACAGAGGGTCACCTGAATTCGGGAAATCTTTTAGAGTGGGAACCTTTCTCAGAGGTGGGTTAGTTAGGGTCACGCCGCGTCTGCAGGAGGCGAGAGCTCCATCTGCGGCAGTTTGCAGGTACTGGGATTTTTTACAGACCGAGGGTTTGCGTCAGACCCTGCGTCCCGCAAGTCTACTGGCACCATTCTTCCAAAACGCTGTGTGTTGGCCTCACGTCTCTGTGTCAGGACTCTTTAGCAATAAAGTATTTTTTAATTAAGGTACATGCTGTTTTTTTTTTTTTCAGACATATTACACACATTTAAAACCCTACAGTGCCCAGTTGGATGCAGCTTTGAAAAGGAATAAAAGAGAAAAAGAAATTTAAGAGAAAAAAAAATACATAAATAAATAAATAAAATATTATAATATAAGGCCGGGCGAGGTGGCTCACGCCTGTAACCCTAACAACTCTGGGAGGCCGAGGCGGGAGGGCCGTTTGAGCTCAGGAGTTCGAGACCGGCTCTGAGCAAGAGCGAGAGACCCCCGTCTCTATTAAAAATGGAAAGAAATTAGCTGGACAACCAAAAATATATAGAAAAAAATGATCCTGGGCATGGTTGCACGTGCCTGTAGTAGTCCCAGCAACTCGGGGAGGCTGAGGCAGGAGGACCGTTTGAGCCCAGGAGTCTGAGGTTGCTGTGAGTGAGGCTGACGCCACGGCGCTCTAGCCCTGATGACAGAGCAAGACTCTGTCCCCAAAAAAAAAAAACAAAAACCCAAAAAACAGGCTACAGGATGGCGTGGACACAACTCTCACAAGGTCCTGAGAAACCACCAGATGTGTGACTTCGCTTCCTTGTGACACTCACTTTATTGGGGTGCTCTGGGCCCGAGCCCACAGTGTGTCTCCGAGGCACGCCAGCACTCTTCGCTGAGAACAGTGCACCGAAAAGGCATAATTCGAGAACCAGCAGGACTCTCCGGGCCGGAGGACGCAGGGCCCTGGGAGGGGGGAGCCCCGGCTGCAGGCGTGGGGGGAGGGGCCGGACGCCCCACTCCGGGGGGCCACCCACGAGTCCTGGCGGGGGGAAGGGTGGGGGGTGCACTCTGGAGAGGTGGTCCTGATTCCAGCACAGCCGCTCTGAGTCCTGAGACCCCAGGGGAGGCCTGGGCAATGGGGGAGGGGGGGGACCAGTCCCAACACGGGTGCCGGAAGAAGAGGCGTCTTCACAAGGGGGAGGAGAAGACCCCGTGGGGGGAGGACGAAGCGTCATGGGAGAAAAGTCAGCCGAACGCGGCGAAGTCCTCCAGACCCCACTCGGGGGAGGGGGCTCACTGGGCAGACGGCCACCGAGGCCCCGCGGGGCAGGAAGCTTCTCCCTGGGGCGGGCGGGGGGCCGGCCACCAGGCGGAGGGCTGTCCTGGCTCTCGGCCGCACACGGACACAAGCACACGGCGTCTTTCCCGTATTTTCCATCCGACGGTTGAACCCGTAGGACTCAGAACCCACAGCCACAGAGGGTCAACTGAATCCGGGAAATTCAGACAAGTCCGGGGACACGGCACGGCGCAGCGGCGGCCCCCTGCGGCCGACGACTCCTCCGAATTGGAGGTGACACGGTGACGGGGCGTGGGTTCCTCCCCCCGCAGTCTAGGGCCCCCACCCGACCGAGCCTGGGGAGGAGCAGCCCGCCCGGGCCGGGGCCGCCTAGTCGCCGTACCGGACCTCGGCCCGCAGCTCCTTGGTGACGTAGGCGGCCAGCATGGCCAGCAGCTGCTGCTGCAGGGCCTCGCTGCCCATGACCAGCGCCGTGAGCTGCACCGCGTCCGTCCAGTCCAGGTTGCGGACGATGGCCGAGGCCTCCAGGAAGAGCTTCTGCTGCTCCTCCGCGGGCAGCTCCATGAGGATGCGCGGCACGGACTGGAACTCCCCACTGGCCATCCAGGCCCCCAGCAGGCCCCCGACGGCACCCCCTGGGAGACAAGGGAGGGTTCCGTTGGCGGAGCCTCCCGCCCGCCCGGCCGGCGAGGGCCCAGCCCGCGTTCCCACCGCCCCACCGCCGAGAGCACGCCTGCCCTCCCCAGCACGAGCAGGCAGGGGGTCTGGTGGGGCGGGCTCAGCTCACGCTGCAGCCTGGGGGGCAGAGGCTCACGTGGCCTCCCCCGTCTGGCTCGGATAGAATGACGCCCACACGTGCCCTTCCCCCAGCCCCACACCTGGGGATGCAAAGCAAAGCCCGCACCGCCTTCGCGCTCAGAGCCTCGCCGACTAGAATCTCCTTCGCGGGCTGGCGGAGGTGCCCGGGGCTGCCCGTAAAAACCTCTCTCTCGTCACGAAGGACAGGGCCGAGAAGCAAATGCATGTTCAAGAGAAACCATCTCAGGGGCCAGGCGCGGTGGCTCACGCCTGTCATCCCAGCAGTCTGGGAGGCCTAGGCGGGCGGATTGCTCAAGGTCAGGAGTTGGAGACCAGCCTGAGCAAGAGCGAGACCCCGTCTCTACTGTGAATAGAAATAAATTAATTGACCAACTATGAATATATATAGAACAAATTAGCCGGGCGTGGTGGCGCATGCCTGTAGTCCCAGCTACTCGGGAGGCCGAGGCAGGAGGATGGCTTGAGCCCAGGAGTCTGAGGTTGCTGTGAGCGAGGCTGACGCCATGGCACTCACTCTAGCCTGGGCAACAAAGGGAGGCTCTGTCTCAAAAAAATAAATAAATATAAATATAAATAAAAGACCTCGTATCAGCGAAGAGCTCTACCTAAAGAGGCCACAGGCAGGATGGGGCAGGTGGGGGACGTGCTCTCAAGTAGGGGCCTCAGACTCAGGTGCCACCAAGGGCAAGTGTGACAGAAGCGGACAGAGCGGTCCCTGTCTACAGGGCAAGCGGCCACCCCGGGCCAGCCCGCTGCTGCCACGGGGAATGCCAGACGCACGTCTTTAAAATGCCTCACGGGCCGGGCGCCGTGGCTCACGCCTGTAATCCCAGCACTCTGGGAGGCCCAGGCGGGCAGATCACTCGAGGTCAGGAGTTCGAGACCAGCCTGAGCAAGAGCGAGACCCCGTCTCTACTATAAATAGAAAGAAATTAGCTAGACCACTAAAAATACATATAGAAAAAATTAGCCGGGCGCGGTGGCGCATGCCTGTAGTCCCAGCTACTCGGGAGGAGGCTGAGGCAGGAGGATCGCTTGAGCCCAGGAGTCTGAGGTTGCTGTGAGCTAGGCTGACGCCTTGCACTCTAGCCCGGGCGACAGAGCGAGACTGTGTCTCAAAAAAAAAAATTGCAGCCCAGGCCAGAGAGACCCCACTTGCAGCCAGGACTGGCCGACAGGCGGTAAGACCAGTGCCCAGTGAGGACGCCGAGCATGGAGGCCCCAGAACAGCTGCCTCCTCTGGCCCCAGGCCCGGGGGACAGGGTCCCCCTCCCTCCAAAAGAAAGCAGCACCCTTGGGAGGGAAAACTGGCCAAATGACAAGCTGTGCTGAACTTTTCCCCGTGACACGAGTGAAAGACGCTTCGGGTTGGCAGGAGTTGCACTTGTCCGCACTGAGCCTTTACGAGGACGTCAGTGTCTGGTTTGGAGCAGCGACTGACGCAGAAAGTCGCCAAGAACACCGACCAGTAGACCACTGGCTCTCGGGAGAGGAGAGAATTCCTTTGTTTTCTGGGTAAAATGATGCTCCCCACCCACGGCCAGGGGCCAGAAGCGGTGGTGACTCCCCGGGGTTCTCTCTGCAGACATCCTGGTCCCAACCCACCGATACTCAGTCTGGATGAAATGCAAGCTCCCTAATGGCATCTGGGCACGGCTAGGTAATGAAGTGATCCCTGTGAGCCCGATCCCCCCAGCGCTTAACGACAGAGACTGTCACCAGGGAGGAAGGAAACGGCCTCATCTGCCTCCCTCGCTGAATAGCAAGGGGCTGGAGGCAGGACTCACTATAAAATTCACAGATCGGGAGAGGAAAATAGAAAGAGGGAAGGTCTGGGGCCACCCACATGCTTATTTTTTTCTTTTTTTTGAGACAGAGTCTCGCTCTGTTGCCCGGGCTAGAGTACCGTGGCGTCAGCCTAGCTCACAGCAACCTCAGACTCCTGGGCTCAAGCAATCCTCCTGCCTCAGCCTCCTCCCGAGTAGCTGGGACTGCAGGCACGGTGCCACTACGACCGGCTAATTTTTTTCTATTTTTAGTTGTTTCGCTAATTTCTTTCTATTTATAGTAGAGACGGGGTCTCGCTCTTGCTCAGAGCTGGTCTCGAACTCCTGAGCTCAGGTGATCCTCCCCCCTCGGCCTCCCAAAGTGCCAGGGTTACAGGCGTGAGCCACCGCACCCGGCCTCGCACGCTTATTTCTCTCCCCACCGTGGCCTTAGCCTAATGAAATGTCCTTGAACGCCAGTCCCGCATGGCGGGGAGCTCTCTGAGTCCATCCCAGCCTACGGTTTAGGCCACAGCCCTGAGCCACACACAGATCTTCCGAGGCCTGGAAATTCTTCCCGTCCTGATCCAAAGGAAGAAACCTCAGCCTAGCTCCGAGGAACGACGGGAAAAATCAACCGAACTTTTTTTTTTTTTGAGACAGAATCTCACTCTGTTGCCCAGGCTAGAGTGAATGCCGTGGCGTCAGCCTCGCTCACAGCAACCTCAGACTCCTGGGCTCAAGCGATCCTCCCGCCTCAGCCTCCCAAGTACTGGGACTACAGGCATGCGCCACCATGCCCAGCTAATTTTTTCTATATATATTTAGTTGGCCAATTAATTTCTTTCTATTTATAGTAGAGACGGGGTCTCGCTCTTGCTCAGGCTGGTCTCGAACTCCTGACCTCGAGCGATCCTCCCGCCTCGGCCTCCCAGAGTGCTGGGATGACAGGCACGAGCCGCGGCGCCCGGCCAGCTTGCATTTTTAACCAGGCAAACTGTATAGGCAAGGATGACATTGCAGAAGCAACCTGAACTCCACAACCCCCCCCCCCCGGCGTGTGGCACCCCCTCTGGCAAGCTCGTTTCTCCCCGTGGTTCCAAAGGAGCTTTTGCCCAACACCTGCCGGGCCAGCCGCCCCTGCGAGACACCTGGACTCACCAATGGCCAGGCCTGGCGGGCCACCCACCAGACCGCCCACGAAGGCCACAGCCCCGGTCACCAGGGCGCCCTTCCCCGAGTGCTTGACAGCCGCCTTCATCTTCCTCTGCTCGGACACCGAGCACAGGAGCTTCATGATGTCCTCCACCACGACGGGCATCCTCGGGCGCCTGGAAAGGAACGTCCCAGAGGGAGAGGGTTTTTTGTTTGTTTGTTTGTTTAAATATTATTTATTTATTTTGAGACGGAATCTCGCTCTGTTGCCCAGGCTAGAGTGAGTGCCGTGGCGTCAGCCTCGCTCACAGCAACCTCAGACTCCTGGGCTCAAAAGATCCTCCTGCCTCGGCCTCCCCCAAGTAGCTGGGACTACAGGCGTGCGCCACCACGCCCGGCTAATTTTTTTTCGTATATATATTTTTAGTTGGCCAATTAATTTCTTTCTATTTATAGTAGAGACAGGGTCTCGCTCTTGCTCAGGCTGGTTTCTGAACTCCTGACCTCGAGCGATCCTCCGGCCTCGGCCTCCCAGAGTGCTGGGATGACAGGCGTGAGCCACCACGCCTGGCCCAGAGGGAGAGTCTTAACAAGTGTGAGAGCGTTTCCACCCACACGTTGCTCTTCCCAGGGGTGTGAGAGGAAGGGTCTGCATTTTCTGGAGCGAACGGGAGCTCCCGCTGTGTGCAACACAGACAGTGGAAAGCTCTCTGCCAGCCGGGGCGCGGTGGCTCACGCCTGTCATTCCAGCACTCCGGGAGGCTGAGGCGGGAGGATTGCTCGAGCTCAGGAGTTTGAGACCAGCCTGAGCAAGAGCGAGACCTCGTCTCTACTATAAATAGAAAGAAATTAATTGGCCAACTAACATATATAGAAAAAATTAGCCGGGCATGGTGGCGCATGCCTGTAGTCCCAGCTACTCGGGAGGCTGAGGCAGGAGGATCGCCTGAGCCCAAGAGTCTGAGGTTGCTGTGAGCGAGGCTGACGCCACGGCACTCTGGCCCAGGCAACAGAAGCGAGACAAGAAAGAGAGAGAGAGAGAGAGAGAAGAAAAGAAAGAAAAGAAAAGAAAAGAAAAGAAAAGAAAAGAAAAGAAAGAAGAAAAGAAAACAAAGGAAGGAGGAAGGAGGAAGGAGGAAGGAAGGAAAAGAAAGAAAGAAAGAAAGAAAGAAAGAAGAAAGAAAAAAGAAAGAAAGAAAGAAAGAAGGAAGAGAGGGAGGAGAGGGAGGAGGGAGGAAGGAAGGAAGGAAGGAAAGAAGGAAGGAGGAGGAGAAGAAGGAAGGAGGGAGGGAGGGAGGGGGGAGAAGAAAGGAAAGAAGGGGAGGGAGGGAGAAGGAAGGAAGGAAGGACGGAAGGAAGGAAAGAAGGAAGGAGGAGGGAGGAAAGAAGGAAGGAGGGAGGAGGGAGGGAGAGGAAGGAAGGAAGGAAGGAAGGAAGGGAGAAAGAGGAGGAGGAGGAAGGAAGGAAGGAAGGAGGAAGAAGGAAGAAGAGGAGAGGAAGGGGAAGGGGGGAGGAAGGAGGATGAAGAAAGAGAGGAAGGAAGAAAGGAGGAAGGGAAAGGGAGAAGGAGGAGAAGGAAGAAGGAAGAGAGAAGAAGGAAGGAAGGAGGAAGGGAGGGAGGGAGGGAGAAGAGAGGAGGAAGGAGGAAGGAAGGAGGAACGAAGGGAGAAGGGAAGGAGAGGAAGAAGAAGAAGGAGGGAGGAGGGGGAAAAAGGAAGGAAGGAAGGAGGAAGGAAGAAGGAAGGAAGGAGGAAGGAAGGAGGAAGGGGAAGAAGGAAGGAAGGGAGGAAGGAGAAGGAAGCGGAGGAAGGAGGAAGCAGGAGGAGGAGAGGAGGAGGAGGAAAGTTCTCTGCCGTACAAAGAGCAGGGCGGAGTTTAATGAGCAACAGAAGCAGCTGCGTGGACGTGGACGAAAGGGTGTCTTTGCCCTCTGATCAGCTGCTGATTTACGGCAGATTAAGGAGCAAGCCCGGCCACATGCCGGCTCCTCCCCGGGGAGGCCAGCCTGACCTCTGGCGCCTGTGGGCTTCCGGCGGGCCCGGGCGATCCTGTGCACACAGAGCCTGCCGGAGACCAGGACGCCGCCAGCCCCGTGTCCTTTCCGTGTGACAGGGCATCGGAGCCGGTGCCAAGACAGAGAAGGGGAAAGGACACGGGGCTGAGATGGCGCTGGCATCGGCCCGCTACGTGACCCGGAGCGGCAGACACGCCCTAACGTGGAGATGAGCCACCGACAGGCTGGGTTCTTGCCAAGTGCAAGTGGGCGGATGTGGAGTGCTGGGCACAAACCAGGGACATCGGCCTGTGCGCGGTGGCCCACGCCTGTCATCCTGGCACTCTGGGAGACGGAGGAGGGCGGATTGCTCCAGGTCAGGAGTTCCAAACCAGCCTGAGCAAGAGCCAGACCCTGTCTCTACTATAAATAGAAAGAAATTAATTGGCCAACTAATACATACAGAAAAGAAAAATGAGCCGGGCGTGGTGGCGCATACCTATAATCCCAGCTACTCGGGAGGCTGAGGCAGGAGGATCACTTGAGCCCAGGAGTCGGAGGTTGCTGTGAGAGTCTGACACAATGGCACTCACTCTAGCCTGGGGCAACAAAGCAGGACTCTGTCTCAAAAAGAGCAATGAGGCCGGGCGCGGTGGCTCACACCTGTCATCCCAGCACTCTGGGAGGCCGAGGCTGGTGGATCGCTCAAGGTCAGGAGTTCAAAACCAGCCTGAGCAAGAGCGAGACCCCCATCTCTATTATAAATAGAAAGAATTAATTGGCCAACTAATAGATACAGAAAAAAAAAATGAGCCAGGCATGGTGGTGCACATGCCTGTAGTCCCAGCTACTCGGGAGGCTGAGGCAAGAGGATCGCTTGAGCCCAGGAGTCTGAGGTTGCTGTGAGCTAGGCTGACACCACGGCACTCACTCTAGCCTGGGCAACAAAGCAAGACTCTGTCTCAAAAAAAGCAACGAGATGAAGCAAGTGGAGAACAGAATAAATCAAGCCGTTCCAAGGGCTTGCGACACAAGCGGATGGATGGATGGACCTTTAGAACAATGACCTTTGGAACAACAACTCTCTGGGGTCAGGGGACTGCTGCCACGAAGGCTGGCAGGGAAGTGCTGGCAAGGCCAGGGCAGGCTGGGGTGGGGGGGGGAGCCAACAGGCAGAGCTGAGAATTCTCCCCAGAGCCTGAGCAGGAACGCAGGCTCCACGGGCACACCCCGTCTCATCACACTCCCCTCTTCGCTCCAGGCTATGGCACAGAGAGTTGCCGAGGGGAACTCGACTGGGGAAGTTTGGGGATAGATTCTGCCGGCTCAGAATCCTTTGGTTGGCTATAAGGAGCTTTTCTGACCGAAGGGTGACCCAGAACCACAAGTCTCTCAATGTAAAACTGCCCTCCTGGATCCCGGGGACAGGATGTGGAGCCCTTAGAACAAACCCACAGGCCAGGCGCGGCGGCTCACGCCTGTGATCCCAGCACTCTGGGAGGCCGAGGCGGGAGGATCGCTCGAGGTCAGGAGTTCGAGACCAGCCTGAGCAAGAGCCAGACCCCCGTCTCTACTAAAAAGATAGAAAGAAATTAAGTGGAAATTAATTATTTATATAATTAATATATATAAAAATATATATAGCCGGGCACGGTGGCGCATGCCTATAGTCCCAGCTACTCGGGAGGCTGAGGCAGGAGGATCGCTTGAGACCAGGAGTCAGAGGTTGCTGTGAGCGAAGATGACGCCACGGCACTCACTCTAGCCTGGGCGACAAAGTGAGACTCTGTCTCAAAAAAAAAAAAATCAGGGGATTTCACACACGCCTCTGATTCCTGGTTTCTCTTGAGAAATCATTAGACCGGGCCACACTGGACCTGTCCTTTCTGTGTGGCGATGCAGGCCAGGGTGACAGAGCTGACACCCTCTGCCCCTCCACACACAGAGGAGGGCCCTGCCCTCTGCCGCAGCCCCTGCACCTTTACCTGCCCACGAGGCCCACAGGCAGGTGACTTCACCACCTGTCAAGGCTTCCTTCTTGCTTTTCTTCTGCTCTTCGCAGCCGGGGTCTGCCGCCAGGCTGGAGGGCAGTGGCCATGCGCAGGTGTGATCACAGCGCACAACGCGAACGCCTGGCCTCCGATGATCCTCCTGCCTCAGCCTCCCAAGCTGCTGGGACTCACTTTTTTTTTTTTTGGAAAGAATGAACAAACCACGTGCCTCCAGCCAAACTAACCTGGCCTCCTCAGCCATCCCTTCCTGAACGTGCATCTAAGTAAGGGCGCCCAGGTGGCCCGGCCAGGATTCCTCACCGCACCCCGCACCCGGTCACTGCGAGGGGTGCAGCCAGGCCTGGTCTCACGGTCCCGGCTCTGCTCCCTGCGAGTGTGGCTTTGGCCTCTCCGTGCCTCAGTTTCCCCGTATGGAAAACCGTGAGGGCCAGGTCGCTCCCAGGTATGGGGGCGCGCCGCTTGGGGCCACCCCCTCCCCCAGCTCCCCGAAGCGCACCTTTACCTGAGTGACAGGTGGGCTCGCCGCGCGCCTCTGAGGTCACAGGTCGGCTCCGCGCCCGCAGGGAGACTGAGGCCCGCGCCCCAGCCACCGCCCGGCCACCGCCCCGTCCCCGCCCGGCGGTCGCACAGGCCCCGGTGGCCCCGGCGTGCGGGCCCCGCCCCCCGACTTCCGGCTGCGCGGGGCCTTCCGGGTCGCGGGGTTGCCGCGGGGCCAAGCCTGGAGCCGGGTCCCCTGGGGGCGCGGGGCTCGCGGGCGCTGCTGGGCGTCCCCGTCACATGCCCCGGCCCGGCCCGGACCCGCTGGACCCGCTGGGCTGCGGGAACCCGCCGCGCACGCCTCAGCGTCGGGGTCCTGCGCAGCCGGGTCCTCCCGGGGACCCTGTCCCTGCGCCCGGCCTGGGCGCCGGGGTCCTGCGCAGCCGGGTCCTCCCGGGGACCCTGTCCCTGCGGCCGGCCTGGGCCCCGGGGTCCTGCGCAGCCGGGTCCTCCCGGGGACCCTGTCCCTGCGCCCGGCCTGGGCCCCGGGGTCCTACGCAGCCGGGTCCTCCCGGGGACTCCTGTCCCTGCGCCCGGCCTGGGCGCCGGGGTCCTGCGCAGCCGGTCCTCCCGGGGACCCCTGTCCCTGCGGCCCGGCCTGGGCGCCGGGGTCCTGCGCAGCCGGGTCCTCCCGGGGACCCTGTCCTGTGGCCGGCCTGGGCGCTGGGGTCCTGCGCAGCCGGGTCCTCCCGGGGACCCTGTCCCTGTTCCCGGCCTGGGCGCCGGGGTCCTGCGCAGCCCGGTCCTCCCGGGGACCCTGTCCCTGTGGCCGGCCTGGGTGCCGGGGTCCTGCGCAGCCGGGTCCTCCCAGAGACCCTGTCCCTGCGCCCGGCCTGGGCGCACCCCGGACGCGGGAGCGCGCAGGGGCACCTGGGGGCTACTGCCAGGTTAGCGCTTGGTGCGCACTGGGCACAGCCAGTCCAGGAATCGTGTGAACCCCCAGGGTGCTGGGGTGTGACCGCACCCCGCCTGGCCCCCTGACCCCCAGGGTGCTGGGGTGTGGCAGCGCCCTGCCTGGCCCCCTGACCCCCTGATCCCACCTGACCTAGGTGCTGTGTCACCCAAGATGCCCCCCCCCACCAGGGCCGTCCTGCTGCTCTGCCCCTCCATTCCCCAGAGTGAGGAAGTATCAGAAGTCCCAAGCCCAGGGCTCCCACTCAGGGTCAGATTCCCCCTTTCGCTCCTGACCAGGGGCTTCCGCTGGAGCCCGGGTGGTGACCAAGAGCGACAGGTGACAGGGCCAAGGTCCCAGCGCACCCCTTGCCCGCCTCCCCCGCCCCCCCTCCCTGCGAGAGGGCAGCTACCTCCCGGCAGCACCTTTGAGAACCGGCCCCAGGGCTCCTCCCTGGAGGCGGGGAGGGGTGGGGGTGACCCCGAGCAGGGACAATGCCAACTGCAAACGCAGCTGGAAAGCGGGGCCAACTGCAGGCAGAAGGGGAACCTTCCGCCCCTCGACACCTGGGACCTTCTTCACCCTGACACCAGCAAAGCCGGGACAAGGTCGCACCCGCGGCAGCCCAGAGACGGGTGCACCGCACTCTCCGGGCAGCCCCCGCACAGGCCAGCATACGGCTGATGCGAGTGCCGACCTGGGGAAAGTCACTCCGTGCCTCAGTGTCCCCGTCTGGGAAGTGGCAGTAACAACACCGCCCATCTCATACAGTTGTTCTGAAGGTTAGAGGAGTCAGGCGTAGGGGTCCAGATGGTCCTTGTTTGGTTTTGTTTTGTTTTTTTGAGACAGAGTCTCACTCTGTTGCCCAGGCTAGAATGAGTGCCGTGGCATCAGCCTCGCTCACAGCAACCTCCAACTCCTGGGCTCAAGCGATCCTCCTGCCTCAGCCTCCCGAGTAGCTGGGACTACAGGCATGCGCCACCACGCCCGGCTAATTTTTTCTATATATATTATTAGTTGGCCAATTAATTTATTTCTATTTATAGCAGAGACGGGGTCTCGCTCTTGCTCAGGCTGGTTTCGAACTCCTGACCTGGAGCGATCCTCCTGACTCCGCCTCCCAGAGTGCTGGGATGACTGGCGTGAGCCACCTCGCCCGGCCCGCGTGCAGGTCTTGCCGCCGGCCTTGGGTCTTGGGAGAGCTCGATGCCGAGCGGGCTGTCGGAGGACAAGGCGGCTCTGGGGCTGGTAATGATCTCATCCCAGGCTTCTCCGCTGTTCTTTTAAATAATTAATTCGGCCTCCTCCGTGGTGTTTACATCCTTCAAATATTTGTAGACGGTTATCATGTCCCTTTAGTCGCCACTTAGCACCACTCTACATATTTGCTGTCGCGTGGAGCTGTGTGTTATCTTCCCTGTTACCATCATTATTATTATTTCTCCCGGCTCACTCCCTCAGCCACGGTCCTTGCCTTGGGAATCTCCTCCAGGTTCCCGACCTTTCGCCTGCCGGGCTACCCAGGATGGGACGTTAAGCGTCCGTAGTGGTGACAAGGGATGGTTCTGGCGGGCCCTCTGGCTCCTTACTCCTCCCAAATCCTCATCAGTTTCCCCAAAGCCACAGCAAAAAAAAAAAAAAAAAAAAAATAGACCAAACACTGTGCCTGGGCCGGGCGCGGAGGCTCACGCCTGCAATCCCAGCACTCTGGGAGGCCGAGGCAGGAGGATTGTTTGAGCTCAGGAGTTCGAGACCAGCCTGAGCAAGAGTGAGACCCCCCGTCTCTACTATACATAGAAAGAAATTAGCCAAACAATTTTAAAAAATAGAAAAAGTTAGTTGGGCATAGTGGCACATGCCTGTAGTCCCAGCTACCCAGGAGGCTGGGGCAGGAGGATCGCTTGAGCCCAGGAGTCTGAGGTTGCTGTGAGCTAGGCTGACGCCACGGCACTCTAGCCTGGGCAACAAAGTGAGACTATGTCTCAAAAAAACAAAAAAAACAAAAACAAACAGTGTTCCTGTAGTGCAAACACAGCTTCCAGACAATTCCCCGGCCCTGTTCCTGACCAGATATAATCCTCAGTTTCCTCAATTGCAAACTAAGGATGAGAATCCTGCTCTCAGCAACCTGGGATTACTGTGAGGACTAAATGAGGGGGAAAAGCCAAAAAGTGCTTTGTAAAAACTAAAAAGCAGGGAGGGTGGTGGCACCAAGCCGTGCCTTCAACATACGATGGGATTTCTACAAAACATTCCCGGGCGGACTGTTCTCAAAAGCTAGAAATTCTAAGTTAGGATCTACAGATGAACTCGATAGCACCGAGATGCACCCTAAAAATCTGTCTATCGAATGTAGACTAGACGGAGACGCCCTACTTCAAAATCCACGAATAGATGTTAGCCTTCCAAGTAAAGTGTGGAACTCGGAGCCCGGTGGGCCCTTGGAAACATGTCCCAGATGGTCCCAACAGGACTTCGGAAGGTCACTACGCTGCTATATAAAAGATTTTTTAAAAAAAAAAATCCACCTTGCCTTGTCTTTCATTTCAGACCTCGCTGAAGAGGCTTCTGCACTCAGAACACTTATATTTTCAGTCTGGGAAGAGAACGTTTTTCAATGGTTCTGTTGAGCATGCACACTTCTCGTGCAAGTATTTCTATAATTATCCTGTTTCGGTTATAATACAGTTTCTGGAACAATAGGACTTTATTGTATTGCTGTATCTGTTATAATAGATGTTTCATTACAGAAAATTATGGTAGAGTCACTGTTATGACTCTGAAATTTTTATTTCAAGTAGCTTCATACGATAGAAATTTTTTTTTTCTCTCCCAGTAGTTTTTACTTTAATGCTGCTTTGGAATTTTGGGGTGGGGGTTTCTTTTCTCTTCTCTTCGGAACTTTGGTCTGTTTCTGTTCAATGGAAGAATGTTTCCTTTTGCTCCAAGGTTCATACCAGGGAAACCACCCCCTGTTTTTTCATCAGTGCTTGCCGGGCCGGAGGGCCTCACATAAATGATGCTCTGTTCACTTCCATGTTCAGGCCCTGACTAGCGTGATGGATTGTCCTTGGCAGTTTCTGTGGGTCAGGAATTCGGGGGTGCCGAGTGGGTGCCCAGCACCCCCGTAGCCAGTTCTACCAGGGACAAGCGCCAGCCCCTAAAACCCTGGCCCCTAAGGCCGGCACGGTGGCTCACGCCTGTAATCCTAGCACTCTGGGAGGCCGAGGCGGGTGGATTACTCGAGGTCAGGAGTTCAAGACCAGCCTGAGCAAGAGCGAGACCCTGTCTCTACTACAAATAGAAAGAAGTTAATTGGCCAACTAATAATATACATACAAAAAATTAGCCGGGTATGGTGGCGCATGCCTGTAGTCCCAGCTACTCGGGAGGCTGAGGCAGAAGGATCGCTTGAGCCCAGGAGTTTGAGGTTGCTGTGAGCGAGGCTGATGCCACAGCACTCACTCTAGCCTGGGCAACAGAGTGAGACTCTGTCTCAAAAAAAAAAAAAAAAACCCTGGCCGATGTGGGGGTTTTTTCAAGGGCTGTCCTGCCTGCCAGAGCAGCTGCCAGGGGAGCAGCCAGTCCCCCCGGGGGCCCTCAAGTGCACCCAGCTGGGCAGCCCCTGCTTTGTGTCTTGTTGCTGCACCCGCAGGACAAAGGCCCTGGCCCCCCCTCCCCTGAGCTGCCACTCACCATGCAATGAGGTTAAGACAGCTCAGCCGGGGATGCCCGCAGTGGGGACATAGCAACAGGGAAGCATCTCGCGTGGACCTGAACGCAAACCGTTCAAATGACAGCAATGCCTGTCGTTTGCACAGAGCTGCTTTTCTGCTAAGTTTCCTCGAGTCATTTGCATGTCATTTCAATAAAGTAAATGAATGATGGCTGACTTTTTGTTCTATTTACATAAAGTCTTACTTTCCTTGATTATTGAAAGAATTCGGCCCCAGGCAGGATGCTCAGCATGCTACGGGAAGCCTCCCTCCCAGCCAGGCCAGGCCTCCTTTCTGCTGAGCCAGAGAGCTGACTGTGGGGAAACTCTTCATTTGTTGTAGCTGCCCCCCCCCGCCCCCCCCCCCGCCCCCGGGGCCCCCTGGGAACAAACTAGAACTTCAACCCCCTCACTGTCTTAGGCCTGCTTTCCGAGTTTCTACGCAGAAGGGGTCAGAGGCAACAATGTTGTTGGAAGGAAGGTAAGGGGCTTCTCTTAAAGTTGTGTATGCAAAGTAGCCAGGTTGTTTGCTAAGGTTTTATGTTGCAACTTTTTTTTTTTTTTGAGACACAGTCTCACTTTGTTGCCCAGGCTAGGGTGAGTGCCATGGCGTCAGCCTCGCTCACAGCAACCTCAGACTCCTGGGCTCAAGCAATCCTCCTGCCTCAGCCTCCCGAGTGGCTGGGACTACAGGCATGCGCCACCATGCCCGGCCAATTTTCTTGTATATATATTTTTAGTTGACCAATTAATTTCTTTCTATTTATAGTAGAGACGGGTCTCGTTCTTGCTCAGGCTGGTTTCGAACTCCTGACCTTGAGCAATCCGCCTGCCTCGGCCTCCCAGAGTGCTGGGATTACAGGCATGAGCCACTGCACCCGGCCTATGTTGCAACTTTTTTAAAAAAAAAAAAGATAGTATTTTCTAGAATTCTCTTCTCTAAACTTTATATGAGACTGGGAGAAATATCAGTAATTGGCATTAAGGACCAGCATCAATATTACTGTGTTGTTATTTATTGCTGTATAACAAATGACTTCAAAACTTGGCTTAAGACAAATATTTATCACCTCCCACAGCTGTTGTGGGCCAGGAATCTGGGAAGGCCTCAGCTGGGGGGTTCTAGGGTGTGCTCTCTCAGGGGGGTGCGGTCACCTGTAGGGGTGATGGGGGAGATGCTGGGCGGCTGACTGGTTGGCAAGTTGGTCCCCGTAGTTGGCAATGAGGCCTCAGCGTCTTAGGGGAGGGGCCCCTCCACGGGGCTACTACTACCTCGTTTCCCCGAAAATAAGTCCTACCCATAAAATAAGCCCTGGCAGGATTTCTAAGTATTTGTGCAATATGAGCCCCACCCCGAAAATAAGCCCTAGTGACGGGCGTGGCTGCGCAGCGCGTCTGCACAACCCGTGCGTGTGGTCATCTCAGAGCAGGAAAGAAGACGAGCAGCCCTTCTCATCCGCCCCGTGAGAGATCTGTGCCTCAACAGGAGAGATCAGGGCCAACGGTTCTAAAGGAAATAGAGTTGCAAGACATTCAGGATGGGATTCGGGGTCTGGAGAGTGAGGATGATGTCCCAGAAGAAGACGACTTCACTATATTTGAATCAATGGAGATGGTTATATCTTACTTAAACAAAAAAAATAAATAACACGTCCCCTGAAAATAAGCCCTAGGGTGTCTTCTGGAGGAAAAATAAATATAAGACCCTGTCCTATTTTTTGGGGAAACATGGCAGGTGTGGATCGTGGGGGGCCACCTGGGAGACTGGGTGTCACAAATGAGCATCATTAATGTTGTTTGGTGGGGGGTTTTCTGAAGGTCTGGAGGCGAGTGCTGCATGGTCAAAGGCATCGTTTCTTACCTGTCTTTCCGGTCGATGCAGACTACATTGGCCAGTTACCTTCAAAGGTGTCCCAGCCAACAAGCATGGACTCAGGGCCCCCTCGGTGCCAGCCCCTCTTCCGGCCTGGGGAATAGAATGACAGCCAAGACAGATAAGTCACCCACCCTCCCTTCCCCCCAGTCCCTGACATTCCAGAGAAAGAAACAGAAGTGAACACATGCACGTCACAATTAGAGTATCATGCTACAGAGGGTAACAGTACAGGATCCTGTTAACCAGGGAGGCCAAGGGGGAGGCCAAGCCCCAAGTGCCGAGGTTGGAGGTCTGTACACCTCGGTCCTCCCCAAACTAGAAATCTGCAACGACCCAAGCATCCCTGCGAGCCAAACCATCCAGCACAACAGTTGACTGGATGAGATGGATTTTATATTTTTTTCTTTTGAGACAGAGTCTCCCTATGTTGTCCGGGCTAGAGTACCGTGGCATCAGCCTAGCTCACAGCAACCTCAAACTCCTGACCTTGAGCGATCCTCCTCCCTCGGCCTCCCAGAGTGCTAGGATTACAGGCGTGAGCCATGGCGCCCGGACTAAGTATTTTTTTTTTGTTTTTTGAGACAGAGTCTCGCTTTGTTGCCCAGGCTAGAGTAAGTGCCGTGGCGTCAGCCTAGCTCACAGCAACCTCAAACTCCTGGGCTCAAGCAATCCTCCTGCCTCAGCCGCCCGAGTAGCTGGGACTACAGGCATGCGCCACCGTACCCGGCTAATTTTTTCCTATATATATTAGTTGACCAATTAATTGCTTTCTATTAATAGTAGAGATGGGTTCTCGCTCTTGCTCAGGCTGGTCTCGAACTCCTGAGCCCGAACGATCCTCCCGTCTCAGCCTCCCAGAGTGTTAGGATTACAGGCATGAGCTACCTCGCCCAGCCTAAGTGTTTTTTTTTTTTTTTTAAATAGCATTTTTCATTTGGGCTATACACAGATACACATACACACATGCCCACAAGGTTGCTGGTTAAAACAAAGAAAAAGGCGTTTGAGGAAACACAACTTAAGTTTCTTTCAAAACGCTTTGGTGCAATAGACGCTACTACCTCTTTCCAGAACCATCATCCGTGCGGTGACGTGAGGGGCTGAGATCGTCTGTTCTCCAAAGACCGTTTGTCAGAGAAGCTGCGCAGCGGGGGCTCGGGGCCATCCCGTGCACAGGTGGGCGGAGGGAGAAGTTCAGAGGGCGTCCCCGAGCGATTCGCAACGTCTCGGACGGAAATATAACATCTTCTTTCATCCTCTGCAGAGACGGGAGCTAAATTCACACCTTTTTTTTTTTTTTTCTTCCTTCCCTCACTTAAAATCAAATTCTCGCCCTTAAAACTTCCTTTCAGAGCTGCACCAAAAACGGTGAGGTCTCCTCGTGCATGCGAATTACCCAGCGTGTAGGAGAGCAAGCCCCACCCGAGTGTGCCGCGTGAGGCCTTTAACCCAGCTAAACTGAATGCTTAGCCCTGGTTTTGAGGCACAAGCGTCTTTTTTTTTTATTTTAGAAGACATTTAGGACGGTCCACGCCCCCCCTGCACAGATGCTCGGAAATCGACCGCGGGGAGGGCCGTAAAGACGGCATATGCTCCGGGAACTGTCCTGGGCCAGGTGGGGCGATAAATCCCGACGTGGGGCCCAGGCGGGCGGTGGCATCTGTCTCCCCCGCACCCGCCGGGCCCCTCCTCCTCTGTCTGGAGGCCGGTGTGACACCCCCCCCCCGACTGTCCGTCTGTGGAGATGTGGCGTGTTCGGCTGAAACCTCCTGCCCTAGCGGGGCGCCTTCTCCAGACCCCAGGGCCCCCCACAGTGACCTCCTGCTGGAGGAAGGAGCCAATGCAGCACCAGACATGTGTCGACGGATAAAAAGAGCCGAACTCTGTAAAATGTTTTTTTTTTTTTTTGAGACAGAGTCTTGCTTTGTTGTCCAGTCTAGAGTGAGTGCCGTGGCGTCAGCCTAGCTCACAGCAACCTCAAACTCCTGGGCTCAAGCAATCCTCCTGCCTCAGCCTCCCAAGTAGCTGGGACTACAGGCATGCGCCACCATGCCCGGCTAATATTTCTTTTTATTTATAGTAGAGACGGGGTCTCGCTCTTGCTCGGGCTGGTTTCGAACTCCTGACCTCGAGCGTTCCGCCCGCCTCGGCCTCCCAGCATGCTAGGATGACAGGCGTGAGCCACCGCGCCCGGCCCACAGTTTGGTTTTATACGTTTCAGGGAGGCAGGGGTTACAGGTAAAGTCATCAATAGATAGATACGTGGGAGGAGTACGTTGGTTTGGCCCGAAAAGGTGGGCCATCTTGAAGTGGGGGGCTTGCAGGTTATAGGTGGGTTTAAAGATTCTTTGGCTTGTAATTGGTTAAAGACGTGAAGCTTTGTCTAAAGGCTTGGAATGTTTCAACATAAGGAGCCGTTATCAGAGATGAACCACAGAACATAGATTTGCTGTCTAAATTGAGGACCTGCAGGTGTGTCTTGCAGGCCCTTAGGCCTGCTAATGGGTTACAAAGGATGTCCCCAGGAAGGGAGGGGGCGTGATGGGGCCTGTCTGACCTCCCTCCTTCTGGCAGGCAATTTAGTTTTAGGATATTCCTTTGGCCACGAGGGGGTCCATTCCGTCAGCCGGTCAGGGGGGAGCCTTAAGATTTTATTTTAGTTGGCACATGAGACTATTTTAAACACAGAAGTGGCACCGAGTTACCCTCTAAAGGTAAATCTGTGCATAGACATCTGATGACTTCTCCCTAGAGAAAAAGCAAAGGTGAGGAACCTCTCCCTGGTAACAAATTTCAGACAGCCACCGTTTTGTTTTTGCGGAGGTGCAGTTGCATGCAGGCTTTCCCACTGAGCGCAGGACGTGAGCGGAAGCCGACACTAGGCGGCGCCATCGGTCAGGAAATCCGGGCGCCGGCTCAAGATGCTGCCCCGCCGATCGTCACCTAGCAGGCCGAGCGTTTCGCTTTGCAGTAATGCACGCCTGCCCGCACCGTTTCTGCCGGGGGGGAAATTATTCCAGATGCGCGCCCGGGTCTGGAAAACGCAGGCAGCCTGTGGTGGGCACGGAATTCCAAGACGGGCTGCGAGGTCTGAGCGATGCACGCCTGGTGTTCGTGTCTCACGTGCTTTTGTGTTCCCATCCTCGTCAACCTGAGACTAAACCCCACTCGTCTACTTACTGCAGCCCCTGGCAGTCCCGGCCCTGCAGAGGTGGTGACGCGGGGAGGACGGGCCGGGGCGGGGGTGGGTTGTCGAGGCTGGGCACAGCAGCCAGGGCCCGGGGCTCAGTCCCGTGGGGACTTCAGAAGAGCCCGCAGAAGGCCTTATCATCGGAACTTCCTGCCTAGCCCCCGTCTGCAGACAGTTCCCAGGGACCGTGTGACCCTCTCGCTCCCCCCGCGCCTCCAGGCTGCCCTGGGGTTTGTTGGATGGGCCAGGGCCAGAGCGAACAGAAACACATGAATTGGCCAACTAAAAATATACATAGAAAAAATGAGCCGGGCACGGTGGCGCATGCCTGTAGTCCCAGCTACTCGGGAGGCTGAGGCAGGAGGATCGCTTGAGCCCAGGAGTTGGAGGTTGCTGTGAGCGAGGCTGACGCCGCGGCACTCACTTTAGCCTGGGCAGCAGAGTGAGACTCTGTCTCAAAAAAAAAAGATTCACAGTCATAATTCCAGAGTGCGACACTTAGCTAATCTGAAAATATTTGCCAACCTATTACGAATAACAATATTCGCAGCTTAAAGCGCTGACCCTCCGGGGCTGCGGAGTGCGAGGGTGCGCTCCCACCGCACAGGGACGGCTCGCCCCTCCTGAGCAAATTGACACAGGGAGCGAGGGCACGGCCTAACTGCCGACCTCTCGGGCACACAGCTCCCCGGGGGCCACTTAGGAAACTCGCTAAACACACTCGGGACGGTGCGCGGGGGACAGAGCTCACAGGGCCAGGGGCGCATGGATCCGCGCCATGGGGAAGTCTCCTAATTCCCCGCAAAACTACATTATGGTCTAAATGTTTCTGTCCTGGCCGGGGGCGGTGGCTCACACCTGTCATTCTAGCACTCTGGGAGGCCGAGGCGGGAGGATCGCTGAAGGTCAGGAGTTCGAAACCAGCCTGAGCAAGAGCGAGACCCCGTCTCTACTAGGAAGGAATTAATTGGACAACTAAACATATATAGAAAAAATCAGCCCGGCATGGTGGCGCATGCCTGTAGTCCCAGCTACTTGGGGGAGGCTGAGGCAGGAGGATCACTCGAGCCCAGGAGTTTGAGGTTGCTGTGAGCTAGGCTGATGCCATGGCACTCACTCTAGCCTGGGCAACAAAGTGAGACTCTGTCTCAAAAAAAAAAAAAACAAAAACCAAAAAACGAGGGTATGATGGTCAGATATGCTCCGTTTTACCCGGTGCCTGGGGCATCACAGTGCTCCTGAGGGAGGTCCGGAAGGTTCCGGGGTGAATGGAGGACATACTGGGCTGGGACAACCTCAGAGGTCTCTTGAGAGTCCAGAGATTCCCCAAGACTCCCTCCTCCTCCCCCGTCGAGAAAGCATGGCCCCGCCGTGCCTGCTGCCGCCAGCTCTCAGCCCTGTCCCCCCACCCAGCCAAGCTCCCCGTTCCTCGAAGGTCACTGTCCGGTCCACTCTTGAGGGTCACCACTCTTGAGGGTGTGGCCTGGCCTGGCCAGCCTCTCGGTGGGAGAAGGAGGGAAGGCAGACGTCTGGGGGGACAGGCCCCAAGCTTGGCAGCAATAAGAGCCACGTGCCGAGGGGCCAGCCCACCCCGAGGCCTCTCCAGGAGGGTCTGGGCTGGGGAGGGCGCAGGGAGCCTGCCTGGCCCCGTCTGCGCCGGCGGGCGGGAGGGCAGGCGGGCGGCCACGTTGCACCGTCTGGGCGTGGGGGCCTCGGTTTCTCTGCTCTGTATTTTTACATCCTGATTATTTCATATGTGGCCTTCTGATGGACTCATTTACTGGGGAGCTAAAGATACCCTTAAAGGCCTAAAAATAACCCTGAGCTGCTAAAAATTCAGCATCTCTCTCCTGCCTCCACCAGCTGGGCCTGTCTGCTTTCACTCCAACACCATCAGGAGCTACAAACAAGATTTACAAAAGCGAAGGAGTTTACACGGGCCCTGATTAGCAGATTCTCTTTTATCTTCAATCTGCCAAAACATTTCGGGGTTGTTATCGTTGAGACTGACTTTCTCTTCCTCCCTTCCTTTCTCTCTCTTTTTCTTTCTTTTCTTCTTTCCTTTCCCTTCTTTTTTTTTTTCCCACCCCAATTACTTCTTGTGCCCCTTTATTTCAGTATTTAGGAAGAGTTCTGTCCAAACGCAGGCTTCCAAATCGTCCTACCCTCTGGTCCCTTGGGGGCCTGCTCTCCTGACTTCAGTTGTTTTAAGATGCTCTCCCAATTTCTATGAGCGCCACGTGGATCGCCGGAAGGCCAGTTAAGAATAAACCCCCTGCACCAATAAATTACGTTCACCCTCATTTCCACAGGAACCCCTTTTACATAAATATCTGCCATAGAAATAAATCAGATAAATTAATAAGAACTCCTGCCTTCCTCCCTCCACCTCCAAACCAAACAGGGAACAGTAATGGCTATCAGACCAGTTAAAAGAATAAACCTATTAAATAAATAAATTTGCTCTACACCAATTTATGTCACCAGTGTACTTAAGGGGAAACCTTTTAAAGGAACAGATTTACAGCGCACACAGAGATCTCCACTGGGCATGTGTAATTATGCATAAGAAAGACATTACTTCTAAAGTGGATGAATGGGCGATACTTTTTTGATTTACCGTTGGAAACAGAAAAAATGGTAATGGCGTGAAATCAGCGTTTGCAAACCCATTTCGGGAGACAGGAAATGGTTGATTTACCTAGGGCGCCCGCCACGTTCTGTGTTTCAGATCGAAGTAGATAGATGGCAAGGCAAATGGATATTTGGGGGGAAATCTATAGCCTTTCTGTCAACTCTGCAAGTGAAACGTTTGGAATAAAAAGGCAGAGAGTGTCTACGTGGAAGGAAGAAGGCGTGATTTACCGGCCGTCTGGCAAATGGACGTGGGCAGTGCCCACCTGGAAAGGTGAGGGTCTCACCGACAGGGGCCCACCACCCACCCCAGGCTCTGTCCCTGATGTCTTGACCTGTGAAACCCGGTGTCCAGCTAGTGCTGCCCTGCCCCACCCCAAGTCACCTAAAAGCTGCCCCTAGACTGTTCTTTCTCTGATTTCTTCCTCATACTT